GTATGTATACTACTCCTAACTAACTCATAGGGCGAAAAATCCTTTGTTTATATTTCTCCTTAACGTCGTTAAAATTTTCTTTGTACCAGTAGTTTGGAAAACAGTACAGAATTTTGTTATGTATATTTAATATTTATTTTTATTTCATATATTTCCCTAAATTATTTTTCATCTACAAACAGTTCACAATTAATAGTTCTTATTATAATTACATTATGAAAAAACATATTCATTAGTATAAAGATGACAAACAGTATTAGTAATTTATAAACATTTTAATATCAATTAATTTATAAATTAATTGTGGATTATGTTATTAACTTAAACAAAAATTTGTCTGGCTTGATTTAACAGATCAGTTGGTTGAGCAACAAAACAATAATTTGGTTTAATGATGAAAGTGCCTGTACTGATAAAAAGAATTTTAGAAAAGGTTAAGGAGTTTTCAGACAAGGAGGTAAGCCAAGACAGGATGGTATCGACGAAATTGATGATGAGCTGCATGAGGGTTATTGGCGATTGTCATCTGCACACAAGTCGGTTCATATGATACATGTATAGCTAAATGGATATGCATTTGTTGAGTACATTTTAAAGCACTTTTATTTGGTTTATATTAAAGTAGATAAAAAATGCTTCGGGAAATTAGGAACAAAAAAAGTACATTAGTACATTATTAAGGTTACTTACCTCGATGAAAGTTGCCAACAGCATACAACTCATCTCCTGCTCCAGAATTATCTTGTTCTCTTGGTTGTTGTGACAACAAGCAATTAGAGTAGGAAATAAAATGGCCATGAGGCGCGGGTCACTGAAATACTGGAATGGCAGCGCGCATAACTGTTGCAGTAGGGTGGGCGTCTTGCCGGACTGAACAATGATCTAAAAAGAAAATAAAGAAAATGGATTACAGCTGAAAATGAGTGGGTTAAAGAAAAATTTGAATTATCACACACATATCAAGGCTTGGTTGCATAGATTCTGGTATTCCAATTCTGGGAAATTCAAACTTGCTTTTTCTTAAAGAGAAACCTATGAGAAATGTGGCAAAGACAAGCCAAACCAGTCACTTGTCGCAAATCGTGTTTCAGAGAAAATGGCCAAAACATGCTGGAATGTCAAATTTTAAAAAATCTATTTTATTGCACTAAACTAACCTTTATATATATACACATCATCTTATGCTGTTATTTTCCTCATTTTCAATATTAAAACAACACTTTTTAAGGATTTAACGATAGTTTCTACATGAAAAATGCCTGAAATCATAAACTTTGAAGGCTGATTTCTCATATATTGTTCTTTAAACAGCTGTGTGGTTAAACGCTTATAACTTCATAAGGAAATGTCCGATTTGAATTATTTTTTTACCATTTTATAGCTATTATTTATAGCTATTTATTATTATTATTAATAACTCAAAATCGATTTTTGCGACGAGTGACTGGTTTGGCTTGTCTTTGCCACATATACAATGCCTTAATTTTTACTATTATAAAGATATTTTTAAAGAATTGGTGTAGCAAAATAAATGTTCCCACAGACCAACTACACAGGATAAATCACCTTGCTAGAATGATAAATACCGGGTTGGTGTCCGGCGGGGGATAGTTTCGCTGGTAGTTAAGATATTATGTTTTTGTTGTTTTCTTTAACTCATTTTGTTTTCAATAATTTTTTCTTTTCTAATTATGTATGGCCTTGCACGGCCTTGATGAAAAACACCCATGGGTGATTCAAGTGTCTCCGTGTATAAATAAAGTATATTATTATTATTATTATTATTACTATTATCTAAAATATATTCATTTTATGATTTGCTTTTTATTTTTAATATGTATTTATTATTGTTTTTTTTTTTTTTTTGCTTGCTTTAACTATTTCCTTTTCAATAAATCTATGAAATGAAACTTGTAAAAAATATAATTAAGATAATTGATTGAATAAAGTTTATTATTATTCCAGAACTTTTCCCCATAATTTTTTTCTAGACAAAAGCATGTGCAGAGCTTAAAGGATACAGAGACCACATAAGTCTTGGAATCAAAGGGATCTGCTGTGGAGTGATCTCATTCTTAATATCTCCATGATGAAACTAACCAAATATTAATATGGTTAATATTGTCACTTTTTAGTAATCTCAGATTTAAAGCCTCCTTGTTCAAGCACACCATTGGTAAAACTCCCCTTAGGCTATGTTAAAGCTTATTCATAACATTTCATTTGTATTCAATATTTTCTGTTAAAACCACTACACACTATGTATGATTAAAATACTTAAAATACTGACATTTTCACATGTTAGCTTTGATGTACAATTTAAGAAGTACCTGCTTGATTGAAATATATTTCCTCTTAGAGTGGTGTTCTAAAGGATAACATCATAATTAATTGTGATGCCTTACGATTCAATTCCATTTATTCACATTCTCTGATAACTTTATACGCTGACTTGCAAGAGATATTACAATTGGTACAGTAACTTACAATATACCATATAAATAACTAACAATCTAAACTATCTATTGTAATAATAGGTAAAATCAATGAATGTATGACTTTTAGTAATAATTATATAAAACATATACCCTATATTTTAAAAAATGTAAACATCCTGAGAAATCCTAACTTATGATTGGCTATGTTGTGATGCAACATATTTTAAAGCTACAACAAAGTGACTTCTCAAGTGAAACATATGTACCAATTAATCAACAAGACGATTTGTATAGCGCCAATATTCACGCAGAATGCAATATCCAGTGGCATTATGACAATGGTATTTCTCAATAATATTTAGTGTATTGGAATAAAGAATATGAATATAAGATTTTTTTATAGGGGAACTTCAGTACAATATAGTTTGTTGATGTTTCCTAAATCAGTGAATTATATACTANATATATCTCCCATTTATGTGTGTAATAACCTAATGAAATTGCAAATTTTTGTAATTTTGTTCCTTTACTTTAAATTACAGATGACTCATTTACTGTTTGATGTAAATTGTATACTGTGTATTTAATGTTGAAATTTTGTTTAAATATATTCATTTATGATTTAAAATTTGATTTACTGTATTTGTTAGATACAATTATAGGTTATAAAATTCATTTTTACGGGCTATAATAAAAATATAAATGCACTGATATAAAGAGCACAAGTTAGCGCAACAAATGAATTTAGGACTTTCAGTGTGAGAGGGGGCAATCTACCATCTCCATCACCTTAAAACATTCTTATCATTGTCGCTCTTGTAATCAGTATTAACATATCACCGACATCTTCATTATCACCTCTTTGCTCGAATACAGCTTGCATAACAACGAATTTATGTCATTTTCTATTTAGAACGTATGAATTCATAATTGAATGATAGTGCAACACTGAGTCCGCCAGTATAATACACTCAATTTCTCGCTGTCAGCTACTTACATCCTCACAAGTGTACTAAGTAAATCCTTTGCAATCATTCAAAATTATGACCTTGAAGATAAATGCTCCAATATAATCTCAAAGTGACAGGTTCGCTCATAGTTTGGATCTTGTCAACATGAATAAACATCTGAAAGTTGCATGCATTAGAATAGAATATATCTTTTATTCTTCGACTTTCATGTTTAAATTTGTACATCAATAATGTCATTTTTCATGGTTGCATTGATATATGTACTGTATAGAATTTATTTAAACTGCAGTCTCAGGGAATGTAAGTGCATATTGAATTACATAAATGAAAGAAATAACGACGATGATGACAATGCAACGACGACGACAACGATGATGAATACATTGACACTTAAGGCAAGACTTTTTCGCAAATTTAGAGGAGGGCTAAAAAAAAATAAAAATAAAATTTTGTTTTCTTATTTAGCAAATAGTTTTGCCAAAAACATCCAAACAGACGAGAAAATAAAAATAAAGTTTTATTGGTGAATGTAAACAGCAATGAATGGTTCAATGCTTTAAATTTACATAATTAGGAAGAAATATACATATCTTACTTTTGGAGATTTCAAGGCAGCAGCAGGCAGAATAACAATAAGGAAAAAATGTTAACATTTTTTTGAAATTTCCATTTTTTTCTTGGTGACGGGTGCACTAATTGGCCAAAAATAAAATTTTATTTTTATTTGAAGTAATTTTCGGCGAGCGGTGGGTTCACTAGACTGGTTAAAAAAAGTCTCGCCTAAGCCTCGTAATGAAATGAGACTTGGATTATTGAGCATCTAATTATTATTTCGATTTGTTTATTAAGAGGTCACCTGAATATCTGCTAAGCTGGAAGGGTCACCCTCTATAAACATACAGGAAAAAAAATGATAATGTTTATGATGATGATAAATATGACAATAATAACAATAATGATGATGATGATGACAATAATAGTGATGATGAAAATTTCAATGCATTGCACAATGAAATGGATATTTCTGACATTTAGATGTTCTCATTCATGTATAATAAGAATGATAACTTTGAAGTATATTTCACAACAGAAGGAGACACCTTGACCAAAATTCAATTTAGAGCAAAAAACACTGATTTTGAAATTTAATAAGAAAATAATTAATAATCAATCAATAATTCAGTAGACAACGAATGAATCCTCGCATCAATTATGAATTGAAGGAAATTAACTCAATCGAAAGTTTAAAAATAATTCACGATTCTGACTCAGGTATTGCAGATGTAGATCACACAGTACAAGTTCTCACCAAAACAATTTGTTGTTTGTTCCCGTTTTTCATTCAACACTTATACAATTTTAATAATTCCGCACCTATTGGCTAGACGAGCGAGAAGAAAGAAGCTGATATACATCCGAGGAGATTTACCTGACACACGGGGGAACATGGATGATATGCCTGGGGGGTGCCCGACGCTCAGGTAATCTAATTTGCAGAGAACTTCATTAATAAAAGATTAAATTATGCTCTACATATTGCTTATAAATCATGAATGAGCTACTTGCTCCAACACTAAAAGACATTCAGCATTATTTGTTATGTTCACATATATAATTAATCATTGATGTTTTGGAATGATGGATAAATAAAAGCATAAATAATTTAGTTGTATAAGTGAGATAGGGAAGAAAGAATGGAGACAGTAAAATACGCTAGAGTACGAGATGGATGTGCACATTAAAGAACCCAGTACATCAGTCGAGACAAGGCAATTCATCAGAAGGACGCACATCTCGGGACATCAAAGATTATAACTCTGGCATCGACATTCTAGGCGCACGTGCGTCCCTACACGCTGAAC